CATAAGTTTGGGTTTAGGGTTTAGGGTTTAGGGGTGGAGGTTTGGGGTTAGGGGTTTAAGTTTAAGATAGAGGCCTTAATCATTAGAATAGGGTTTGGGGGTGTATTAGACTGATTATAATAAGGAGCCCCCGAAACCCTATTCTAATTACTAAGGCTCCTACACTAGGCGTTCAGGGCGGTTTGGGGTTTGGGGCGTTGACGGTTTAGGGTTGCTTAAGGGGGTTTTGTGCTTTCGAGTTTCTGGAGGTTGATGTGTTAGGGTCAGGTTGTGACGGTTTAGGGATTTAGGGCTTTTGCTGGTTTGGCTTTTAGGTGTATGTAAGGTTTGGGGATTAGGGTTTAGGGTGGGTTTCGGTTGGGTTTTGGGTTAAGATTAGGACTGCAGCTAGATGCGGCTTGCGTGCTTCTTCTTCGGGTCTCAAGCTAAAGCACCGAAGTCCTGACGAACCCAAACAAACAGCAAAACACCCGGCGCAGGCCCTGATCCCCCTGCCCCTCCAACACCTTCAGGGTTTAGGCTTTGGGGTTTAGGGTCTACCTGAACCCAAAAAAACCCACCGGCTTAAGGACGTTTACAAAGAAATCATAATAAGGAACCCTAAAAGGTGGGTTCTCTAGCATCCAGGTAGGGTGTAGGCCTTTAGAGGGTTCAGGGTGTGGATGAGGGCCCTTGGACTCTGGAGCCCCGCAGCTTTGGTTCCACAGGTCTGCTCACTTTCTTCTTGGTCCAGCCCTAAGGGCCCATGTGACCATTAAGGTCCATGTACCCAAATAGTATAGACTTAGGCCTTAAAGTAGCCACTATATAGGTACTTTGGGGCCAAAGTGTCCAAGCGTTAATGCCGTCCTATGAAACGAAGCTTATATCATCCAGAACTACGCCAGACGGAAACAAACCTCAAACACCGCACAAACAAAGAACCACGCCACGACACCCCGACCTTAGCAGACTGAACTTTACGGCTACTCTCTGCGGGTGCAGGGCTCCCTGCCTGAAGTTCGATCCCGAAACCTATGTAAAACTCTAAACCCTAAACCCCAAACCCTAAACCCCTAAACCCTAAACCCTGAAGCCTCAACTCAAAGCAGCAACCCAAAACCTCAAACCCCCAACCGAAGGATCCCTCCTTAAACCCTATAGCCCCACTCCAGAAACTCGAAAGCCCCCAAACCCTGCGCCCCCCCCCGCCCCCCAAAACCATAAACTCTAAACCCCCAAAAACCCTAAACCGCCTAAACCCCTAAACCCTAAACCCCTAACCCCTAAACCAAATTAACACCCTAAACCCCGAATCGCCGAAAGCCCTTGGTATCTTGTTCAGGCGAAACAGAGGAGGAGGAGACAGAGGCTTTCGTTGCAAAGGCGGCATTAGCTTTCGAGACCTTCGGGGCGTCATATAGGGGTCTAAGCGATTACCTACGCTATTTGGGGGGGTTAAGGGTTTAGGGTTTAGGGTATAACTTATAACTATAGAATACTATACCCCCAAAACCCTTTCCCAAATTATTACGGGCCCTACATTAACCTTGATTAAGGGTTTACGCTTAGGGCGTTCGATACATCTAGGGGTGGATGAGCAGAAAAGAGGTCTCAAGTTGGTGTACAATATTGCTACACCTCACGGGTCCATGTACCCATGTTAGGTACTTTGGGGCAAGGGTATATCTTTGTGGGCTTTTGGACCTTAGGGATACGTCAGGGTTCCTCAATAGAACTCTACAAACCCCAGAAGAAAACCTTCTTCTGATTAGGAAGGTCCTATGTTGCAGGGTTCCTCAACACAACTTTACAAACCTCATAAAACCCTATTTTCCTTAGGACGGTCTTATGTTATATACAGGGTTTCACAAGTGCTTTGCCAGGCTTTAATTCATGGGGTTTCATAAGAGCAATGCCGGTTTTAGATACGGTTATACGGGCGTTCATAACGGTTTCGTGTGGCAATGCAGCTTTATTTTGTGCTTGTTTGGTGGTGTTCACGGTTCATCAGGGGTCCCTAAACCGACAGAGAAGTACTCCTCAAGTAAATTGGGGCTTCTGATTGTGATTTTCAGGTGCAAAAAACCTATTGAATGGGGACCGGGCAGCTTTGGACACAATACTCGACTTCGGCCATAGCGTACTTGGATCCCAGCAGACAGAACCTGAGCAGTTGCCTTGCCTATCATCAAGGACGAACCACATCACCCTATGCCCTATGTATGCCCTAAATGGCCCAGATCTTTCAAGCCACAACCAGCCCTTGAGCACTGCAAAACTTTCTATAAACTAAGCCCTATACACCCCTAAACTTGACTCCCTTCTATAAGTTTGCCCCTAGCATCAAAGTCACTCGAGCTAAACATCTTGGTCGAAGAAGTTGAGGGACACGTCAACCAGTCTTATCGATCAGGCTTGCATAATGGAAGCGTAGCTATCCAGGGAAAAAGATTACATAGGAAGTTGTAGATAACCCCAACGACTTCCGCACTAAACCCCTAAGTCCCGCTTAGAGAATTAAACTAGAAGCCTTCATTCGCAGGTCGTGTGCCTCAGCGGTTTGGATGCGCAGGGGCAGGCTGGAGCACAACAAGAGGCTGGACCAGATACTGTTGGGGTCTTGTAAGGAAGTTACTTTAAGTTTTCTTAATCAGGAAACCATCCGATGTATTGTAGATCCCTGTTATGGTCACTCAGCCTGAGTTCCTTAACAACGCAGAATACTGGTTTGCGGTTTGGGAGTCCGTTATGGAGGTCTCAATAACTTGAAAGAAACACTATCCTATTGCATCAGGATGTTCAAAGGTTTTGAAGGGGAGGGTTCTTCTCAGGGTGTAGAAACGGCTGGTAACACTATCCCCGTAGCTTCCCGACATAATGCTGTTTTACATCCCCCCAACTAAGTCCCCAGGCCCTTAAATTGAACATGAGCATCCTTCATATGGTTGCAGGTAGATCAACCCACGTTGTGTTGCCCAAGTTGATGGCTTTGGGGGCTTGTCTGGGTCTTGGCTTTTAGGGTTTACCTAAACCCGCCAAAAGTAGGTAAAAATAATGGCCCAAGACCCATCAGAGGCTATCATTTTACATACTTTGGGGGTCCAGGTAGGCTTTGAGCCCTCATAGCCTTCACCTCGTATCTCTGATGGCTTTGCGCTTAGAGAGTCCTTCAATCCCTGTACACCCCGAAGCCCCCAAAACCCTAAACCCCAAACCCCCAAACCCCCAAACCCAAAAACCCCAAAGCCTGAACCCTAAACCCATGCTGCCTCCGAGTGTTGGAATTTCGGATGCTTTTGCCGGCTAGGGCTTTGGGTTTGGGGCTTAAGGCTCAGGGCGCTTAGCCCCAAACCCGTTGAACCCCAGACCCTGAGTAGAAATTGCGGGATTGAACCTTCCTGATTCAGCGTGGCATGACGTTTGGTTGCCAATGTCTTGAAGCTCTACACGTCATGCCGTTGCATCCTGTTTTCATTTCCGGGGAGCAGAGGAGGCAATGAGGGGGTTTAACCCTAAACCCTAAACCCTAAACCCTAAACCCTAAACCCTAAACCCTAAACCCTAAACCGTGCTTCACACGCGCAGTTTGGGTTTAGCCGGTTGGAGCCTCCTAAGTTCTCGGCGCCCGGCTGCAGAACGTTTAAACCATGGCACCATGT